ATAAGACATTTAAAAGTGGAATGCATTTAGCTTACTTTATGGATAGCATTAAATTAGATGTAAAATGGACATGAGTTCAATGCAGAACCCATTGAGAAAGTTTTGGAACCTCCCAAGTCATTATTTTTGACAAAAGATCTCGCTGGGTTAGTGTCTATTTGTTGAAAGACCTACAACAATGTCCAACATAACTGTGAGGGTCTTCGATAGAGGATATTTCCAAAGCAGTCTATGTGGATGTACTCACGACATAAATCTAGAAGCAGTGGAAAGATGTCATTCCTCTTGTACTTTCTATGAAATCAGGTCATCCCAGTTGCTCGTCAGACACAGCCACAGTCACAACACGCTGTTGTGAGATGTCGAGTGAGTTTGATGTCACTCAGGCTGATGGGACAAGAGGAACTTTAGTCTTTGCTCCTTAGTTAAATCCAATCTATTGTGTGTACTTGGCACACCCACACCCACATACGCACACCCCTACTTTGGTCTCATAGAGTCTTGTCATATAAAGGCTCAATTTAAGGTTGGGAGAATACATATTTTTAACCTTAACACATTAAATTTTTCTCATTAGCTCAAAGCTTCATGGGTCTTTATACCAATATGATTTATAATCTTATTAAATAACATCGTGCATTGCTCAGAATAATCTAGAAAATGTTCTCATGACAAAACCCCAAATCTGAGTGAATAAACACAATGATGGTTTCCTGCTCACACAAAGCCCAGCAGCTGTTCTTTATCTTTTAGGAATTCTATTTTGTAGCTACTCCATCTGAAACATGATACCATGAGAGCAGGGAAAAGGCAGAATGAAGGCACTTCCGTTGCCCCAAAATGACACATGTCACATTCATTCCTACTCTATTAGTTAGAATGAGTCCCCTGGTCCCAATATACCTGTCAGGGAAAGGTAGAGTCACCTGGAGTGTCATGAACACAACAGCCCCCATCAGGTGTCAGCAGCCTGAAGCCACACTACCATCTTGCCTCCATTGGAGTATCTCTGTCTTCAAGAAGTTGTGCTGTATGTTGGGAACTTCTAGAGATGAATACAATGACACCTTTACCCTCTACAATTCTAATGGAGTTGGAGGCGGAGGAATGTCCCAAAGAGAGGCAGATGCCATGTACACGGGAAAGAGCGCCTCTACAGAGATGGCTGCGAATTCATGGGGTCGTCTGGGGAGGGGCATGGCTTAGACAAGTTTGACAGGGAAAAGTGGGTGGGGAATGAAAAATGTGGGAAGACATGTCATGTTGTAGGAAGAATGGACAGAGACCCTGGAACATGAGGCTGAGGGAAACCATGGAGGACACCGGCCTTTGTTAGTTTGTATTGTATGTGTCTATGCACTAGTTTTCTTATTTGTGGAACATGAGTTGCTAGAATGCTGACTATGTTCTTGTTCTTTATTTTCCCAATTGTTAAGAAATCAAGGTTAAAAACTTACCTAGAAATTTTTTTAGATGGAGTAGCTACAAAATAGAATTCCTAAAAGATAAAGAACAGCCGCTGGGCTTTGTGTGTGCAGGAAACCATCATTGTGTTTATTCACTCAGATTTGGGGTTTAGTCATGAGAACATATTCTAGATTATTCTGAGCAATACATGATGTTATTTAATAAGATTATAAATCATAATGGTATAAAGACCCATGAAGCATTGAGCTAATGAGAAAAATTTTTAGGTAAATTTTTAGCCTTGGTTTCTCTTAGGTGCAACTTGAAAGAAAATTTCAAGTTCTGACCATATGTTGTCTTTTCCCTTCAATGGTGCGTTTTTCTCCATTTCTGAACAATCTTAAGACTATGTGTCATAGGATAAGTTGACTGAATTAGTTCCTACCTAATTCTCCTTTCAGATTCTTTTTTTTTTTTTTTTTTTTTTTTATAGAGGCATGTTTTTATTTATTTATTTATTATATTTGTTTGTTTTGTTTATACATGCACTGGGTACAGTCAGAAGCGCGGGAGGGTGAGAGAATTCACCAGAGCCAGAGCGGGGAGCAGAGCAGGCAGAAGGGCCGAAGTACACTGCTGAGGGGAGCAGCGGGCGGCAGGAGAGGTCTGCGCGCCATGTGGGACCCTCCTCCGGTGGCCGGGGAGCAGGCGGGGATCGAACCGGCGCCGCAGAGGCCGCGGGCAGCTTCGCAACCCAGCGCTCAACTGCTGCGCCACCGGGGAGGCCCTCTCCTTTCAGATTCTTTTCTAATTCAACTAAATATTTATATAACACACTTAGTCCTAGCAATAAGACAATTTAGAAATGAATTTCAATACAGAATTTCAATACACTGACACTGAACACTGAGCTGTAGGTAAATTGGATTCAGTTTTAACTGTTTGAAAACCAAAAATTGGAAAGAGAACTTGTTACGGTTAAGATAAAGTGCTACGGGTGTCGATGTTGAGGAGTTTGACAGTGGGTTAGTACTAGGTCAAGAACATGGGGATTTGGGGGCGGAACAGGACAATTAAGAAAATTCAAAGAGAAGGAAATGGATATAGGAAAACGATTCAGGAAATAAATAGTCTCACTTTTCTTATTTGAAAGAAAATAAAAGTGATGGTAGAGTAGGAAACATGTCACAAACACTCATGCACATGACATTAAAACGGTGTCTTGATGTTGTTTCTTTTCATAAAGAATTCTTTAAAAAAGAAAATGAAATTTTATAGTCTCTGCCAGACCGTCCATCCTTATCAAGTATATATTAAGTCATATATACAAATGTCAATTTAAATATTTTTGCTTAAAAAAACCCTCAAGTTCTTGTGAGAACTTTTTATCTTAGTTTATAAGTTCCCAAACTCCTCTCTTTATGAAAGGGCCTTCCACACTGTGTATCATTACTCATCTTATATTTTTTAAATGTTTATTTATTTATGCATATACTCATACTATCTGTCATTCACTTCACACACACCAGCTCACCTAACTGTTATGACAACAATAAAAAATTGAAATTATTTCTACTTTGTAATTGCAGAACATAAAATTCAACTTTTGTCCATATTCACAGACTTGCTAAGGGAGAAGAAAGGCAACGTGAATTTAGCCAAATGACCTAATTTGTCTGTTGCCAAATTTGTAAAATATGAATAATCACAGCACTCTAATAGGATTATTATTAATAGAGATAATCCTTGTAAGAACTGAGAGCAGCGCCTGACATGATAAACACTTAATAAGCAAGTACAATTATTACTACTACTATTATCAGCTTGATCCTCTGTCCCTCGGCTTTAAAATTCAGTTATTTCAACTAAATTATCTTGACTTCTTAGAAAGGATTTAAATTCTAGAATAAATGAGAAAAGCTTCTAGGAAGCTATATTATTATCTAGGATGAGATAATATTTTATCTTTTTCGCTTTTTAGGAGCAAGGATGGGGTGAGGGGGATCACATAAATTGGCAGAAAAAGTACAATATGGCTTCTCAAATGCAACCCAAGTTTATTCTTCTGGACAGTTTCATTTCTTTAGCGGTTTAACTTTAGCGACATTCAAGGAATTCAACCTAATTCGGTGTGAGCTAAGAAAGCATTCTTTTTTTTCTCCCCCCATGTAAGTATTTTATTTATTTATTTTATATATTTCTTACATCATTTTTCATTTTTGCACTATGTATGCCTTTTCATCTTGGTTATAGTCCCCAGACAATTCCCACCCCCTTGTTTTGATCCTACTGCCTCCCACCCTGCCCCGCCCCTACCTGTCTCTGGTTTATAGTAGCTTGTTGATTTCGGTTTTTGCCAAGCTATGGAAAGAACCCAAATAACCCAAATGCCCCCAAATCGATAACTGGATCAAGAAGATGTGGTCCATATACATATGGAATATTACTCAGCACTCAAAAAGGTAAACTCATGCCATTTGCAGCAACATGGATGGCGCTGGAAGGGATCATGCTCAGTGAAATAAGCCAAAAAGAAAAAGAAAAATCCCGGATGGTCTCACTCACAGCAGGAATCTAGAAAACTTAAATAAGGGACCAGGAAAAAGGCTCATTCTAATCAAGCTAGGCATTCTTTTCCAGGCCGTCCTCACACTAACTTCCCCAAGAAACATATTCCAAAGAGGGAGAAAAATCAAGGCAGAAGAAACCAAAGCAAGGCCAGTGGAGGAATTTCCCCAGCACTATTCATGGTTCAACAACTAAACCCTATTTTCAGGATTTGAATAATTTGCGAGACTAAAAGTGAATTCTGCCCAATGGATTTTCTTCCCTATTTTGAAGTTTCTGGGGCTATTTCCTGCTCTCCGCCCACGGCGCGCACTTTCTGTTTTCCTGAGCTTGAACGACTTGGTGACCTGCTGCCAGCGCTGCGATTCCCTCCCCTCCAAAAAGGCCTTAATGGAAAATTTGGTCTATTTTTTAAGATGTGTTTATGTCTGCGCACAGGGGCTGGGGTGCAGGCGGAGATGCGGGGGTGGGCGGAGTCCCCAGAGGCAGAGCCGGGAGCAGAGCAGGCGGACCGGCCGAAACCCACTGCTGAGGGGAGCAGCGGGGAGACAGGAGGGGTCCGCCGCGCCGTGTGGGTAGCCCCTGGCCGGCCGGGGCTCGAACTCGCGCCGCGGAGGCCGGGGGCCGCTCCACAGCGGGGCTCCCCCCTCGGCCGCCAGGGCGGCGCTCGCGTTCCTTCTTCAGGCTTCGGAGAAGGCCCGTCTCCCGCCCCGGCCGGCCGGGCTCCCCAAGGGCGCGTCTCCTCCCGCGGCTGCGCACCCCGAGCCTCCCCGCGGGCCCCCCCCACCCCGCCCCGCCCGGCACCGGGGGCGCGCGTCGCTCACCTGGCGCGGCCCCACCTGCCGCCCCGGCCGCGCCCGCCCGACAGCCCCGAGCATGCTCAGTGCGCCCCGCCCGCCGCGCCCCGACTCCCGCGCCCCCGCCGGGCTCCCCGCGCCCCGCCCCGGCCCCCCCGACCCCCCCGGCCCCCCCGGCCCCGGCCGCGGGCGCGGACTCGTCCGGGAGCGGGGCCCAGAGCGGCCGGGCGGGCGGCAGCAGCGCCCCGGGAGCAGAGCAGGTCGGCGCGGGGTGCGCGGGGGGCGGGAGGGGCGCGCGGGGGGCGCGCGGGGGCGGGGGGCGCGCGGGGGGGCAGAGGGCGCGCGTCTCGGGGCGCCCCGGCTCTGCCCGCGGGGAGCCGGGTGCCCGGGGAGCCGGGCGCCTCTTCCTCTCGCGGCTGCCGGGGGCGCGCGGGCCCGGGGGGCGGGGGTGTCGTCCCGGGGGGCGGGGGTGTCGTCCCGGGGGCGAGGGTGGCGGGGCGCGGGTGTCCGGGGCGGGGGTGGCGGGGCGCGGCCTGCGCCGGGTCTCCCCGCCCGGGGTGCGGGCCACGCGGGGGGCGCCCGGCCAGGCCGGCGGAGGCTGCTCGCGGGGCGCCCCCACCCCCCGCCCCCGCCCGCACCCCCGCGGGGAGCCGTCCCGACCCGCGGCCGCGGCGAGAGGCGCTTTCCTGGGGGGCCGGGGAGGGTCTGTGGTCTGCGCCCGGGGGGTGACACCACGCGCGCGCGCACATGCACACACAGACACACACATGCACACGCCCAGACACACACGCACACACGTGCACACACAGTCACGCACACGCCCAGACACACGTGCACACGCGCGCGCGCGAAACCAGCGGCTCCCCCAGTCCCTGCCTCGGGGTCCGGAGACGCCCCCCCCAAGCCCCCCCGGGCGGGCGGCGCTGCTGCTGCGGGAGCTCGGGCGGGGCCCCCCCAGGTCCAGGGAGACGCCCCTCAGGGGCGCACACGCCGAGGCCCAGATGGGGCGCTGGGGCCAAGACAGGCAGCAGGAAACTGGGGCCCAGACGCCCCTCGTGTCCCCCCGCGCTGCGCGCCCCGCAGGCTTCCGAGCGGCCCGGGGCGCTGCTCTGGGGGGGCCGGGAATGGGGCTGAGCCGGGGCCGGGGCGCGGCTGCGGGGCGCACCCGGGGGCTGAGCGAGGTGACCCCGAGCCCGGCGGGCGGACCCAGCGCCACCTCGGGCCTCAGCAGCCGCGAGCGCAGCGGCGACCTGGGGGGGCGGCGTCGTGAGCGCCGGGGGGCGCCCGCGCCAGGGCCGGAGGCCGGTGTTTGCAGAATTCCCGCCAGCGCTTCGCAGCCCCCCGCGTGGCCGCGTCCCCGGGGCGCGGGGGAACGCGGGCGGCCGGGGGTTTTCACACTCCCTCCCCATCTCCTCGTCACGGCCGCTTCCTACAGATGCTGCGTCTATTTCTGGCCCTGCCGCTGCCCTTTGACGATCTCGGGGTTGCATTTTTGGCCTCGGGCCCCTCCGATGGGCGGGAAGGAGCTGGACCCAGGAGCGAGCCTGGGCCCCGAGACGTCCTTAGGATCCCGGTTCCGAAATGGAAGGAAGTTCCCTGCGGTGGCTTTCACTTTTATTTATTTTTTAAAGATTTATTTACGCAGCCAAGAACTGGGGTACAGGCCAGAGGTGTGGGGGTCTCACCAGAGACAGAGCGGGGAGCAGAGCAGGTGCATCCACTGAAACCCACTGCTGAGGGGAGCCGCGGGGAGACGGGAGGGGTCTGCTGCGCCCTGCGGGCAGCTCCAGGACCGGGGATCGAACTCGTGCTGCAGTGGCTGCGGGTAGCTTCATCGTGCTGAGGCTTCACCCCTGCGCCCCCAGGGAGGCCCCGACTTTATTTGAACCCCTGACATGATGTCGGGTGCTGCACTCTGATTTCCAAGGTGGAGGAGGCTGGAATTCTGCTCTCGAGTCCTTCGTCTCCAGTTATGTAGGTTCCTCTCCCTCCTGCCCCTTTGCTTCCAGTGGACACGTCGTCCTTCGCGGTGAAAAGGATGCAGATCCCAAATATTCTGAAAGGGATTTAACAGTTATACGGAATGTTCGTCAGAGATTCTAGAAGACACCCCGGAGAAGGGTTCCTTAGCCAGAAACGGCGTATTCGGCCCCTTCCTGTGCTCACGGAGAGTGACCCGTCACTCGTGGCCTGTGGACAGGTGATGCAGGGCTTCCTCGTGCTGAGAAGGGAGGGTTGGACGAGTTGCGCCTCTCCCTGTCCCCATTTATAGAAAAAGAATTTAGGGGCAGAGAATGAAGGCACTTGCTCAGATGCACGGCCGGTCAGTGACTGCCCTGCAGCAAGCCCCGGGCCGGGTGGCTGGATCGTGGCCACCGAGCAGCACAGCCCCTGCCCTGCGTGACGTTGGTGAAGTAGGAACGTGGTTGTGTGTTCTAATCCCAGTGCGGTGCCTGGCAGGGGATCGTTCTGAATAATTGATAATGGGGTTGGGGGCCGGGAGAACCATCCAGGATGGAAGGACGTATGAGGGAGACAGAAGTGGAAGGAAGGGACAGGAAATTAGGAAACATCAAGCTTCCTTCCTGCCCGTTACTCTCAAGCTTGCAGGAAATTCGGCCCGGACTCTGACCTGGGGCGGGATAGTTGCAGTTCCCTGGAGAGTATCTGTGCGTCGCCCGGCATCTAGACATCCGGTCAGAGGCTCTTCTGTGAGGATTAGAAAAGCAATCACTCCTGGGGCCGATAGATTAGCAAACGGCGCCAATAACTGTAAACATGAAAAGGAAACCTACTCAGGGCGGGTGGAAAAGGGCAGGTTGTCGTTCAGGGGTTCTGGATTTCGGTTTCAGTTTGACTGCCGGTTGACTTAGCCGTGTGCCATGTGGGGGTATTGCTTGTCTGCTTGTTCTGAGCACCAGTTGTGTCTTCTCTGTGCACCTGACACATCGAAGGGCAGCAAATATGCCCTGTGTCATTTCAATACCTTTCATCTCCTCCCGCCCCCAACCCAGCCCAAAGCCAAGAAGCTGCTCCTGGGTCCCTCACCTTCAACAGTGCTTATGTCAACTGCCTTGTCACTTGAGCTGGACTTATTCTAGGCCAAATACTCTTATTTTACTTCAATTGTAATTCGTTGGGTGGGGGTCCTCTTTGTCTTCCTAGATTTTAGGGACCTTGAGAGCAGAGAGAGCATCTGGGGTTCATCCGGGAACCCTGTTTGTCTGGGTCTGAACAGAACATGGGGTCAAAGATGGGACTCGGGAGCCTGGATGTCTGGGTTTGAACTTGGCTTTGCTTGAGTAGCTAGAGAAGGTTGCTCAACCTCCCTGATTGTCAGTTTTTTTCACGTGTAATTATCTGTCTGTATTTGAGTTTCTTCGCATCTAGGAAGAGGATACTATTCCGCCTCGTAGTAGTTACAAAGATTAAATGAGATACTACCTACGAGGTGCCAGGTATATGCTACAGTAACTCAATGCAGGGTAGCTAGTGCTGTGTACTGAATATCTGACTGTAAGACTGTTGGATCGTTATAAGGATCGCAGGATTCTTCTTCTTAACAGATATTTTGGAAACTTGGAAATGCCAGTTTTCCCACTGGATGACATAACAGTGTGAGATTGCGTAATAAACCATTCAATGGACTCTCATCTTCCGAGAGTTTACCTTGGTTTGTAATAGGCTTTCTCAAAACTGCGGATCAAAGCAATCAGGAACTGTGTTGGGAAATAACTGCATACTCAGTTGCAGTAAAGAAAAATTTAAAAATAAAAATTATTCATTAAATTATAAAAATTATTCATTAAATAAAAATTAATTTAAAAATAATTAAAAATTCATTAAATAAAAATTAAATAAAGATTATTCATTAAAAATTACTCCTTAAAAAATAAGGAAAGCGTTCATTTCTCAATTGGTTCCTTAAATAGTGAAGGAGTGACGCAACCTACCTACTTGTAGGTTAGTAGCTACAGCAAGTTGCTCACCCGTCCTAATTGTCCGTTTTTTCATGTGTAAATGCCTGTCTGTATATGAGTTTCTTCGCATGTGGAAAGAGGATAGTATTCAGCCTCCTGTAGTAGTTGTAAAGATTAAATGCGATAATATCGACGGGACCCAGTGGTTTATAATCATAATGCGATGGAATAGCTTAATAGAGCCCATGGTATCGAGGAAGAAATAACATTTATCTCACAGACATGTGGCAGTTAGTAAACAAGAGAGAGGAAGGTCCATTTATGTATAAACAATAATAATAATCGGGAACACTAGAAAAAAGTAAACTACAAGTTAAACAAATTGAACGCAACTGTAATAAAACTAGTCCAGGTAAGACTGGACGAATTGGGGTACATGGGTTCATTAGAGACATTCTCGACATAGTCATAACTATCAGTCTTAATAAGTGGTGCGAATATTTTTGAATATAATTTTCCTGACCCAATACTAACACGTTCTTGCAATTTTTTTCATTAATAGTTCTTGAAACCCCAAACAAATTCCTGAAAATCTTACAAGAACCCCGAGGAACAGCTCTGAGACGCAGGTGAGAGATATTTTTAGTAAAAGTTTTGTGCAGCTCATGAAAATGTCTATGTGGGTCACTTACCTAAAACAGTGATGTTTTCCAGTAACACTTGGCATGAAAATAGCAATTTTCAATGGAAAACATTTAGTATCATGGTGAACACAAGAAAAATATTTATTTAGATAAAGGAAAAATGTGTAAAAATGTTGGTTGGTATTTTTTAAAAAAGCATTTAATTTCCAATATTGTCTGTCTCCTTAACAAATAAGATGACGAAATGTGTTCTTGTTCATCATCTAGACCCTAATCAGACTTTTATAGGAGTTATTGTGTGGAATATTTATAATTTATAAGAAGAAGCTGCCCTACTAAGTGATTTACTTGAGGACGTTTCTTTTGGGACTAGGTTAGATAGGATTCAACAGTAAAACTACTAGGCATGCCTTTGCTTAGAGAGCCTCTCAGGAATGAAATATTGTAATTATACTACTTATTTTAAGATTTATTCTCCAAAATATCAGAGTTGAAGTTCTCCCATTTCTCCTCAATTCTGCAAAAGTTGCATTCAGTGATTAATCGCGTCACATGACAATATTTCCCAGCGCGTGACTATTAGCGTTTTGGGCCGAGCACCTCTTCCTGGCATGGGGGTGTCTGTCTCACTGCAGGCTGTTTAATGTCTGTGGGGACCCCTGTTTTCATCTGCCGATAGCTTCACCTGGCCATTACAGATGCTAAAAATGCCTCCTATGTTTAAATATGCCTCTTGGAAGGATAATTCTAGATATGGCAGAAAACTGTTGGCCACTAGGATGAAATTGAGGATGGTAAGGAAATTATCCTGAGAGCAGAGTGTCTTCAGATAAAAAACAAATTCTCTTGTTTTACTTCAGAGGGTGAAAAATAGGATCATAGTGAAAAGACTTTGATTTTAAGGAAGAAATTCTTTTATTATAAGGAATATTGAGTATATTAAGTATATTAACTAGGTTAGCATGGATCACCGGGGCGCTCAGTGTCTAGCCTTTGGCTCTGTCAGCACCTGCTGCTTCTTCAATTTCTCTTCTGGCTTCTCTGCTCTTTGCTCTCCTCTTCTCTGTCTACTCATCGGAGCTCCCCCGTGCCTCTCCTTGTACCTCCTCTCACTAAAGTATGTGTTCCTCAATTTCTGCTTTGCATTTTTCTTTGGTGAATATTCTGTGCTTTGGCTGAGTTCATCCTTTCTTGGCCTCCACTTGCACCGCAGTGAGAATGGCTCCCAAATCTTCATCTTTAGCCCTGGCCTTCCTGTAAGGTCCACCTTCCCACACGCCTGCTGGACAGCTCCCCCGTGCTGTGCTGCCGACATCCTGTGAGCAGCTCTGAACTCTTGATGTCTTCCTTCCTGCCTTCTGTTACTCCCATTTATTTTATTAATAGTAGCCTCGTCCTGAGGTTTTTGAAACCCCCCTCAGCCTTGATCTTGTATCTCACCGTCATTTGATTAGACTGATACTTGCATATGTCGACTATTTCTTTCACCAGCTTCCTCTTTTCTCATCCTGCTGGAGTCTGGGCATGTTGTCAGAACCATGCGTTGGTCTTCTACCAGGTCTTCTCACCTCTGGTCTCTGACTCTACCAGCTAATTCTCTGGACCTGCCACCAGACAGTCTGACTGACATACGGCTCCCTTACTGACATGCGCATATCACTGGGGTGACTCCCATTACTTGGGGCTAAGAACCAACATTTCAGTCCCCGTAATTCCAAGGCCTTCTTCATGGCTGACCTACTGCCACCGTTCTTGAGTCAGCGTGAATGCTCCCCGGGTGTCATCCATCTTCACGCCACCATCCTTTTTGGTGATGCTTTTCTTCCATCTTAAAATGCTCTCACATCCTGTTTTTTCTATGTCTGGTTTCAACTCGCCTTCAACACTGAGCTTAAATACCATGTTCACATTTCCTTGGAAGCCTCTGGAGAGGTAGAAGAAGTTTTGCTGACACTCTGGTAACATTGCACTTGTGAGCTGTTTTATTTGTTTAAAAATTTGTATTATAGTTACATCGCGTGTGTCTTCAGTTGCTCCATTCACAACACATTTCTGGATGTCAGGAATGACAGCGTATCCATATTTATATGTTCTTTAGCACTTCGTTGGGGTACAGAGTTGCAAGGCGGACATCTGTTTCCACTTTTATGTAGTGTTTCTTCAGCATCTTCAATAAACCACCATCTCTTGTTTACCTGAAGTGTGCACAAAGGCAGCCTGTTCTTTTTTAAGGCAGTTCCAATTATGACTGAATTCTTCCTTCTTTTAACTAGAATCTTTACTTAGCTTTCTGGAATAATGCAAAATAAATCACCTTCTGGGTGGTTTGAAAGCCCGAGTGCTTATGTATCTTTTATTTTCTCTATCAATTTAACTTATTTAGGTTTTCTACCTGTTTATTTTTTTATTATTTATTTAATTTTTTAAAGATTTATTTATTTATGCATTCAAGAGCTGGGGTACAGGCCAGAGATGTGGGGGGTGAGAGGATTCACCAGAGGCAAAGTGGGGAACAGAATAGGCAGATTGACTGAAATACACTGCTGAGGGGAGCAGGAGAGGTCTGCTGCACCATGTGGGTTGCCCCCTGGCCCGCCAGGGATCGAACTCATGCTGCAGAGACTGCAGACAGCTTCATAGTGTGGTGCCTAACCCCTTGCGCCACCAGGGAGGCCCTACCTGTTTTATTTTTTATTTATTTATTTTTTTAATATTAAATTTTATTTTTATATTCCCCCATACAATTGCAAACGCCCCATTCTGACCCCAATCCTTCCCCTCCCGCCCCCCAACCCCCAAAAAGTGTCTCTGGTTCATAGTTTTTTGTTGATTTTGATTTTCACTTTCTTATATTCATTTTCCTGGTCCCTTATTTAATTTTCTAGATTCCTGCTATGAGTGAGACCATCCGGTATTTTTCTTTTTCTTTTTGGCTTATTTCACTGAGCATGATCCCTTCCAGCTCCATCCATGTTGCTGCAAATTGCATGTGTTTATCTTTTTTGAATGCTGAGTAATAGTCCATGGTATATATGTACCACATCTTCTTGATCCAGTCATCTATTTTTGGGCATTTGGGTTGTTTCCAAAGCTTAGCTATTGTAAACAGTGCTGCTATAAACATAGGGGTGCAGGTGCTCTTTGGAATTGATGTTTCTGTGTCCTTTGGGTAAATACCTGTTTTATTTTTATATGACCTACTTAAGCTCATTTTTCAGAACCACTGCATTTCAAGTTAGAAAAGTTCAGAAATGTACAGAAAACTATAATAATGAAAACAGTTATTATGAATATAATTGTTTAAACTTTTGTTAATGACCCTCGTGGCCATTAATAGCATCTGTTTTTTCATGAAATCTGAAGTGGCAAAGGAGATGTACAAAGGGTTCCACCTCTGGGAGAACCTCACTGCCAACTTAGAGCTGAACATTTTTTCTTTGTGGGCCTCAGTGTAATGTGTAAGTAAATGACTAAGCCATTGAAAGGAAGAAAGCAAAGAAGTGATAATCACTTTAAATTGCAGTTACAATTTGAAATTAGTCACTCAGTAAAGTTATTTCCCTTTATAGATGGATGCCATTAGAGGTAAATGACAACTCTGTGTGTGTGTGTGTGTGTGTCTGTCTGTCTGTCTGTGTGTTTACTAAATGAATTTGGAGATAGTGGACCATTTATTTATAAATAAACAAAGAGTATTCACTTATGTATTCTAGACACCATATAGATGTTAGGGAGATGACTGTGAATAGTACAGCTAAGTTCCTTTTAGCCTTGAGTCAAACAAATAGTGGAACATATTCCAGAAACAAAGTTAAACAATATCTGTCCTTCTGACAAATTTTTGTAGACTTCCAATGTCGCTTTCACCGTGTCCTCTGTCCCATGCCACAGCTCTCTCTTCCCCTTATTTCTCTATCCCAGTATCTCAAGTGAGACCAGAGCCTTCGTAGAGGGAGAGAGAAAACTCGATGGAATTTTTTCATTTGCACATCGCAAGAATAAAGTCTCAGCAAGATGAGGCTACCCATTAGAGAACCCCACAATTTAGTAGATGTTTCAATGCAGGATATTCTAATGGCAGCTAGATCTCACTTCTGAACCTTAAATACATTCAAATCAGTAAATTAGAATTACGACATGAAGTACTGTGCATTAAGACCTGAAAATAATATAGGGCCTCCTTCCTGATCCTTTGAGAATACTGTAATTGCAGTCATATTCTCTGTATGTGTTAGTTATCATGATCAGCGAGGACAGAGATTGACAAACCGTGTAACTCTTGAGCAACACCCAGCCCACTGTCTGTTTTCATAAAGTCTTACTAGGATGTAGCCACACCCATTTGTTTCTACATTTTCTGTGGACACTGTCCCATTTTCCTTCCACAGGGCAGAGTTGCCTAGTTGGAACTTAGCCAGCAACGTCTAAAATCTACGCTCTCTGAGCACTTTAGCAAAAAAATATTTGTTGGCCTCTGCTCTAGGATTTCAGGTGAGAGAGGCTTTATTATGTGAGGGAAAAATCAAAGACGACTTTAATGAAAGGAGTAGAAATATTTTGAAGCTGAGAGCTGGACAGACTAAGTAAAAAGAGGAGATGGTCATTTTAAATACCACTAAATTCAGAAGCTAACACAAACACATGGGTAAATACAAAAGTCTGCTGAAATGTAAAGATTTTATTAATGTTTGTAATTCAAGTGATGTAACCACGTGTCTGAGTATATGTTTTGTGAGTATTTTCATCCAGAACAGTGATTTGTAAACTTGTTGAGACATTTAAAAATAAGATTTAAAAATATTTATTTAAAATTAAATAAATATTTAAAAATATTTATGTAATTTAAAAATAAGATTTTTTTCATTCATGATCATTGATGCTAACGTATCTGATCTTTGTGGAAAATTACTAATCTAGACTAAGTTCATTTGGTAAAATTTATTATTTTCTGTTGTTGACGGAGAATTTTTTCCTCCCTTGTTATCTCTTCTAAAGTACATGCATGCTGGATGACGTAAATAATTTGATAATCTATTGTTATAATAAAATCAATACAGAATATTTGGTGCAAAACTAACTGCCAGTACTATGTCAAGAGCTTTGCAAAGCTCATCTCATTAAAGACTTATCCTGGTCAATGGGATAGATGTTATTATTCCCATTTTATAGAAGAGAACACTAAGGAACATATGAAACAAATAAATGACTTTAGACTACAATACTAGTAGATAGGTAATCCCCCCTGAATGCAGCATGACCCAGAAACTGACCCCTCAAAAAGAGAAACTTTGAAAATAGGATACAGGCAAGAACTTTCAGAAATTATAAAATAGTGAATTTGTCAATTTGTTCTAATGTGACTTAATTCTTTCCTTTTTAGAGCCTTCTGTTATATTTCTATTCTCACTACAAATGCTTCTGTAAATTATAATTGAAACTAATGATTTTTATGGAGCTGGAAGTTTCTATATCCTGCTTTATTCTGTCACTTTCTGTCCTCACCTCTTTCCCTTTTAAACAGCAGTTGCTTGTAATTTTCTCCTTCCCTCCCCTTTGTCTGTAGGGTCGTGTCCCTTTATTCACATCTAGGCCCCAGGAACCTGTTGGCTGGTGCCTTTAATGTAGCAATAAAATGCTTGAATGCATTTTCCTAAAGCAGCAGCCTTTGTCAGAAAACAAATAATCAATACAACTTAATACCAGTTTATTTTTTAAACATGAAAGCAAGTAGATGCTATCGAAATATTTGTACATCACTAATGGATATCACAAAATGATGAATAGATAAGAAAAGGTGAATGATTCAGGAGAAGGGAGGGTAAGAAAATGCAAGTCCGCCCACATGGACCACGTTGGCGCCCCTTGGAGAGGACCCTGGCCATGTGCCAAGTGGGGGGAACATTCATTATCCCCAGAAATGGTCCTGTCTACTGACCATCTGAGCATTATCTCCTTTGCCAGTCCTTTCCTAAGTCACATGTGCTGTTAAATTTAAAGGGGAAAAAATGCATCAGGGAGGAAACATACACGTTTTTATTTCTTTATTTTTTACCAATAATATAGATTTATTACCCTGACTGAGGAAGATATCTGGTCCTATTGTCTACATTTGTTTTCAGATGTTTTAAAAAAAAAAGAGAAGAGACGCTTCCATACACATAGCACCAATTAAAAACATGCATCTTATTTTGAATGCTTAGAATTAGAAGCCTAATTATTACTGTTCATTGGGTTAGCTCAGTGATCATGATCAAAATTGTCATGCACATGGTCTGCAACTTTCATTTAAGGCTGAGTGCTCCATCCATCCCTTTTAGTTTCTAAGTTATTAAAATTATTTAGCTTTCTATTAGGTCTCTTATTTTACTAGCTTTTGTCTTATTTTACTAGCTTTTGTCTTAGGGCATGGGATGCCTGCTCACACGTACATTCAGATAGTGGCTTGAGGGCTATAAAATCTAAATTTCAAAATGCAATTTTTTATTCTCTTGGTGTTCCAAAGATTTTGAAAGGCTTTACACAGGTTTTTTTTTGGAATTGAGAAAGGGGAAAGAGAAGCGTCTAATTCTTGGAGCGAGCCTTGTGCCAGGCATATCTGTGAGGCTTTCTGTGCATCGTCTCACGTAATCCTCAGGTTCAGCTTCTCCCCCTCCGCTCCAGGTGGTCTCACTGGCTAGTGTAGAAGCATTTCTCTTTATACACACATTATACAGAAAAGGGAAATTATGGGAAGACGAAAGTACACAGAATTTTGTCCTTTTCAAATGTGCTAACTTGAAAAACATCACATTTTTTAAAATGTCAAAATCACACCTGTTAATCTTTCTCAAAAACAAAAGCCAAACTAACGCACAAGGAAAGTGTTGGCAACGTACTGTGTTCCTCTTCTGCGTCGTCTTTGTCTGTCTGTGCTTCTGTGTCAAAATTTCACAGACTAGGTAGACTGAAAAATGGAAATTTATTTTGTTCTGGAAACTGGATGTCCCCAGATCAGGCCACCAGTGTGGTCAGGTGAGGGCTCCCCCCAGACTGCAGACTTCTTGCACCCCACACAGTGAAAGGACGACATGGACTCTCTTAGTAAGAGCAGTAACCCCATCCTGAAGCTTCCCCCTGGTGACCTGAGCAGCTCTCAAAGACCTTCTTTTCTTTTTTCTTAAAGATTTATTTATGCATACAAGAACCAGGGTATGGGCCAGATGTGCGGGAGGGTGAGAGGATTCACCAGAGACAGAGTGGGGAACAGAACAGGCAGACTGATGAAATACACTGCTGAGGGGAGCAGCGGGCGAGACAGGAGAGGTCTGCCTCGCCATGTGGGTATCTCTCTAGCCGGCGGGGGATAGAACCAGCACTGCAGAGGCTGCGGACAGCTTCACAGTGCTGTGCTCAACCACTTGCACCACCGGGGAGGCCCAAAGACATTATTTTCTACAACCATCCCTTTGCACATTAAGATTTCAACATGTGCATTTGGAGGCCCCATAAACATTCACCCCATAGCACACATCCGTACCTTCATTCAACAATGTTAACTCCATGAACTGTGTCTATTGGGACTGCTGTTCGTACCAAGAAGTCAAGCAGACATACAAACTCCACTGAACTAGTGCTATGTCTGCATAATTGGGATTGGAATATTGTTTTATTCTTTACTGAGTACTCGATGACACTTTATTAACCATGTTGGGAGAATGTGCCAAGCCTGTCTAATGGTCAGATGCTGAGTTTGCTGCCTTGGGGAAGCCAGTACGCTGTGGCGTTGCACAGTTGTGCCAATAACAATACCAGCAGAGTCAGCAGGCGTTCTTTGTTGCCAATTCTTCTTGGGGCTTCATGGACGGTGTTGCCATTGCTCCTGAAATCTATCCTTGGCCTGTTGCTGAAGCTGCCCTAATCGACATAAAGACACTCCTATAGCTGTCAATGTTTTCTGGACTTGACTTCCTCATTAAATGCAGCTGTATCCTCTGAACTCGAAAGTGCCAGAGAGTCTGAAGCGATGAGCCTGTCGGAGCTTGTTAGTTGCATCATCTTGTGCCCTGGCCTGGTTCCTGCTCCATGACTTGACTCTGCTGGATCTTGGCATTGACTCTGGCCAGGACCGAGTGACTGTTCCATGAAATGCCCTTCGGTTTTAGTGGAAGGGGAAGCTACAAATAATAGTCATGGGAACTGAGCAGTTGCCAGAAGTCAAACGGAGAAAGAAAAGCATGAAGGGCAAGCAACAGCACGATGCCTAAAGTAGCTGGCTTCATGCTTTGCCACCCCGAGCCTGTAACCTTTAGGTATAAATCTATAGAATAAGGATTTCATTGTAGAGCATTTTCCTTGTCAGATGGTGAGAAGCTCTCTGATAGTATCTAAATAACACCATTTTATGGGAACATTCTGTGTTGCTTCTGAGCAAAATATTTTGTCATTTATTTTGAATTAAACCGAAACAACTAGCCAACATCAATAAAGTCATTTGTCATGCAATTCATAGACTCTGGGTATACCACTTGCAGGGTTTAAATATGGATTTCATTTTGTATAGGTGAGCTCTTCATTTGTCTTGAGTTTATTTAAAATTTTGATAGATATTTTAATTTTTTATTGAAAAATATCAAGTGAGATATTTCCCAAAATACAAAAAACATTCTGAATTAATTTTTCAGTTACCTTACATAATAGCTTTTGTTGTGAAAACCAAGACTCATCATCTTCATAAAACTTTTCTTGATTCTATTTCTGAATTCTTCAGTTGTTGTTGTTCTAAAAAAAGCCCTGTGTAATAAAATGAGGAAGGGGAACTGAGTAACTATTTTTTTTTTCTAGAGGAAAGTATAGTTCATGGAAATCTAAGGAATTTCAGCATCTTGAGAATATATGAAGAGGGGTAAGACACATGTAATTTATTTCCACAGTTTCCCTAAAACTCAGTATTTAAAAGGTAAGTGGAGGGCATTTCTACTGTTTAGCTTGACAGCATACTTGCATCCTTATGCAACTGAAAAATCATATTCTGCCTGAAAATTTACTTAAGTGAAGTTTTATAGGTTTTAATTGCTATGTGTTGTGACATAAATGCATTCTTTAGAGAAGTGTCCTGCTAACTATGAAATAATGAATCTGTGTTTTGAAGTATTTTGAGTTAATATGTAATGTGGGAATGAAATCACTTTGTTAACATTATTGTTCGGCCCATTTCTCCACAAAGTATGGAAAATAGAAATTTAATCTGCATTTATTATTGCTCTATTCTATACGTATTTATTCAGGGGAATATGACTCCATTGATGGCACATTCATAAGATTTACAAAGGCAAAATTGCTTGTTCTTATTAAATACATGCTCTGTTCTCATTATACTTATTAATATGCTCATAAAATGCTACTTGGCTTTGGACAGGCACTAGCCTCCAATTTACACTCTACTCAGGAATACCCAAGTTAGAGGTTTTCCAACCTTACTTGATTATAGATGTCATTTTGAAGAGAAATTCTTGGCATTAGAATTTCATGGAATACCGTCAGGAAATACTGCCTGAAGAAAGACCTTTGTGTTTATGACAAACTGGGGCTTTGAAAGTATTGTTTATAGAAGAGCTGCATGTGCCTATGAGTAACTAATTTGAATTTAATTTGGGAGATTCTAAGCACGTGGCCTGTTGTCAGGTGTTCAAATGCATATCAAAGTAGGAAGCCAGTGTTCCTGTTTTCTTAATCAAATGACAAACATCAAGATCGTGTACATTATGTACATATAATAAGATATAATAAATAATAATTAAAACAGTGATTAAAGGGATTATCGATGTGGGGAATTGTTGAGGTCCGCTGTTTTGCCTTTAGTGTTAAAATAATTGAAATCTAACGTCATTAGAAGGGACTAACTGAACACTTCCCATGGAAGGTCACTGTGATTGTTCTGTTTATTAGTCATAGACTCAGAATCAGTAAAACCTAGAGGATGACCCCATCGCAGATAGAGGCATTCCAAAATTTTGAGTTTCTTTCCTAGTAAAAGCTCTAAATATTGAAAATAAATTTTATTTTACTGTAAACTGACCCAATTTTGCATCATCCTGAGGACTTTTTCTACTTTGCCTCACAGGAGACAAAGACATAGAAAGTTTATTAAAGGAAAATTGAAATAAAAAAATTAAAACCATTTCCTGGCATCAGTAATCCAAATTGTCTCTCCTTTTATAGCCATAGTATTATGGCCTGTAGCCATATCACTGCATTCCTTAATTATCAATACCTTATATGTACATTTTTGCTAAAATGATTTCACACATTTCCTTAAATACACAACTCAGTATCACTCAAGTATTTTTCTCAATGCACTCTAAACCTTTATTCCATCTACCACATGCTTAAGCATTTACTAAACCACTTAGCTAGTCAACACAAATTGCTCCATAATTATAGCTTTAAAACTGTGGCTACTTAATGCTATTTGCTAATTGTGTTTCCACGGACTCTTACTCCATTCTAGCACAGAGACCAATGAAATTAAAAATATTATCATCATAATTGGACTACAAGATGAATAAAAGTCATCTGCATGCAAGAAGTCCAAGAACAAGTTTCCTCCTTTTGACTATAATATTGGTTCTTCTACTGACACATCACCCAAGAGTTCTCCCTCAGTGCTTGTGCCCGCTCCATGATAATGAAAGTAAAGATTGTGGTTAATTCTTTTGAAGTAGAATGTTCCCCTCCAAGTCTAAAGTGGGTGACAGTTAGCAGTCTTACCTGTTCAGTAATCACACTCCATGCTGTCTGATCTGCCCTTCTTTTTTTTTTTTTTCAATAAATGAAGCTTTTTATTTAAATATTTATGTTACCTTTTAAAAATATTCTAGCGAGTGTTACCACATACTTCATTTTTTAAATTTTTATTGAACAACTTTGCAGTGTAACATTATATAGCTTTCAAGTGTGCATCATCATAAATCAACATCTGTATGTAGTACGTTATATTCATGATTAAAAGTTCAGTTCTTTCCTTTATCATATAGTTAACCACTTGTTGCCCTATTTACCTATCCCCTACTTCCTTCCTTTCTGGAGACCACTAGTTTGTCTTTGAGTCTAAAAGTTTATTTTTGCTTTATGTAGCTCATTTATTGTTTGGTTTCTTTATATGATCTGCCATTCTTAATAGTGATTCTGGTAAAACATACATGTAGCTATTAAGGTCAAGAACTTCCAGTGAGAAATGGCTCTGACTTGGTCCCCCAAGACCATTAGCCTCTTCTTCCCGTCTACAACTTACTTTAGGAATCACCTATCGTAAATTTTTGGTATAACAGCTTATCTTTGGTACAGATATGACAATTTTACTTGGAAGCTATCAATAACTGCATTTTCTATGGAGAACGTCATGAGGATATAATGATTTTATGATTTTTCTATTATTGTATATACTTATTTATAGCATCAATGTAAAGAAAATTTCTATGAATCCATTTTATTCTCAACTCTATGATAAGTTAGATGTAGCTAAAGTACATCTAAAAGCATTTAAAGTTTTTGAGTGGCTTCTAATATTGATGGGAGGATTTTACCTACTACTTTCTATTGTTAGGGACCTTTAGCCTTTACCTAATCTGATTTGCAGAGTGTACCTTTTTTCTTTTCAGATGTGCAGGATTTAAACAAAAAAAAAATCTAGATTTGCATTGAAGACTTCCTTTCAATTTGGCATCATGCATTTGGCACAATTTGTATTAATTAAATCATGCGCTCAAAGAAACTTAGAGGTGGTCTAGCTCTGTGTTTCAGCCCGTGTATTAATCCTACCAAATCCATGAAAAGTGATTATCCAGCTTCCGTTAAAAGGTTTGCAGACAATAGTGAACTCATCATTTTACAAGCAGCTCATATTTTTCTTAGCCAGCTTCATTTGTTAGTAATTATATTTTAGCATTAGCCTGAGGAGAAAAGTGCCTGCCAACTGTGTTCTTTACATTTTTATTAATATTTTAATTGGTAACATTCATACCATCAAGGCTGGTCATTGGCTGCCTGCTGATAGATTACAAAGGAATCTGATTTTATCCACATCCCTGGAGAAGGTAGACATGTCTATAACATGTGACAGGGGCTGAGAAAATCAAAAGTGGTGGGCGCCGAAGTTATAAAATGCTATTAACTCAGAGCTGGTGGATATCATTACCCAAGTGGAAAAGTTGCTAGGCAGAAAGAAGGGAGAATGTGTTAAAAATAAGCAAATATAACAATAGCTTACACTTACTGAATGCGATGTTACAATAATGACATTTATTTAATGTCTATTGTCTTGGGCACCATTCAAAATAATTTCCACGTATTATAGTTTTAAGCCATATACATGAGACAGGTACCATTATTTTTCTACATAAAAAGAACCAAGGTACCGAGTCATTGAGTGACTCATTGAAGTTCATAAAGTTGGTGCTAATGTTTGGCACCAGACACTCTGATTCTGCGTTTAATGTATTGAAGGGCCTCTTGGCATTTGGACTTTTCAGGACCCTGACAGTTGTACTCTGCAGTTGCGTAATGAGTCCATGATGCTGTTTTGATTTTGATTTTGATTTTGGTTTTGATTTCTCCCAGCCTGAGATCCCTGCCTATCAAGAAGGTTCGGTTTTCATGTTATCTAAGTTGTGTCTATATAAAGAACTCTGAGTGTTAAAGAGTCATTGTTGCCATTCTAGAGGCAAAGCAAAACAGATAAATTTGGAATTAATCTGCTTCATCTGAAAACTTTTCCTCTAAAAAAGATCAGGGAATGAATTTATAATGAGTTGTAATGAGTTCAAGAAAGACTGCATTGAAGACAGCTCAATAGGGTCTGTATTAGAATTAATATTGAGGGTACGTGGCTTACCTCTGCAGTTAAACACAGGTTTTACCTTGTGGTGTTCAAGAAATTATAACATTTCTCTTTTCATTCATTAGCCTGATGAGTTGGTGACAAAGTCCCTTCTAGTTCCTTCTATACGTGTCTATACTTGGTTTTGCAAAGAGAAAGATGTCTGTGCTTCTAACCCCGTGCCAACAGCGTAGCATAAGGGATGTGGGTCTCCCTTTGGAGGAACAGAAAATAGGAAATTGGCAAGACAAACTAAATAAGTGTGTGTATCATTTGAGGAAGCAGGAGACAGACTTTCCTGAGCAAGAGAAATCAAATGTACAATAAAGATATACCTCGAAAAGGAATTATTGAATGTAATGAATATAATGACTCAGAAACATAAAATTATTCCAGAAGTTCATTCCGTCTAAACTGAGAAATATTTGTAGTTATTATTCATCATACTGCTTTTTTACAAAATTTCCTCTCAGAACAGTGTCTGAGCTCAGGCCTTTCATTTGTTTTTCTTAGCTATGCAAAGTTGGCTCGCTGGATTGTGCTTATAAACACAACACAAACATAATCTGACTTGGCAGGCAGAATTTGAATAAAGACAGAGTATGTAATTAAACAGTCCTAGGAAGTAGTTTGGCCAAGCAGAAATGTGGGGTCCATGACTGACTTTCAGAGGGATGAGTTTTCAGCCATGTTTCCCCCCAGTCTGACTTACGACCTGGTACTCCATGATGGGTCCAGAGGTGTCCACCATTGTTCTCTCAAGTCCAGCTCTCTCTTTTTCTTTTCTTTTTTAAGATTTATTTATTTATGCATACAAGAGCTGGAGTGCAGGCCAGAGGTACAGAGGTGAGAGCTGACTCAGGAGAGACAGAGTGGGGAGCAGAACAGTCAGACTGAAATAACACTACTGAGGGGAGCAGCAGGCAAGTCAGGAGAGGTCTGCTGCACCATGTGGGTAGCTCCCTGGCCCTTCAGGGATCAAACTCAACCTCCTCAAGCTTCTATGAGTAGGTTGGGGCACTACCACG